CTCATCTCTTATCTCGTGGATTTCAAGCTGTGTATATATGACTTTTTAAATTGAACGGCATGAAAAATGATGATATATAGTATTAGTATTTTTAATATGTAAAGTATTTTCAATCATTCAACTTAATAATTCAACTAACATCATTCAACTCACAAGTAACACGACATTCATTTCAATAACGCATATGATCTAACTACATACCATAAAGGCACTACAATTCCGACTAAAATCTCTTTAAATCCAAGTCCGGGAGTGCCCTCAAAGTGAACGTGAGGCTAGGTTCAGGGTATGAAAGTATTTTTAAGTGAAAGTACAATCAAGCTAATGGTCATATAGATTCATAAGGGTGGGAGCTTATAGAGCCTAAGAAGTATATATTTTCAAGAACATTTTGTACTGGTGAAGGAAAAATTCTACGCTTGCATAGTCATCTTAGTAAGAAACATTTAAATCATATAAACCAAAGAATTCTAGAGATTACATCCACAAAAAAGAAAATGTGCATTTTCACCAAAACTGACATCATTATAGTTACGTTGCATATAGAATCTGTATTCGGCATCATTATTTACAAATTTCCAATTGACAATTATTTTTTTATAATACAATCTGTGGGGCTGTGAGGGTGAGAGTTTGAACTCACAACCTCTTAGTTTGAGATGTACGCCAATTACCACTGAACTATGCTCGCTTTGGTAATTTCTTAAGACTTAAATTGTTGTAATTAACATATATAAATGAGTTACATCCCGAAACAAAAAAAATGCTATGAGAAACGTCGATCTAGTCCAACTTGAGCAAAATGGCAAATGGTAAGAACTACCTATAAAGTTCAAGCCTTGGAGCACCAGCCATCTCTTTGTGTGCATTGACAAGGTCCTGAAATTCTTTGCTATGTGCCAACAACTGATGTTAAGGAAATTGTTTTAGAAACAATGAAATGGAAGCTTGGTCATTTTAAGTAACGAATCAACAGAGAAGTGATAGAACAAACTTTCGATAGGTAGAAAATTATGAAAACTCGAACCTCAAAAATTGTTTCAATAAAAAACAATGCAATAATGTGACCAAATAACCTCAAATATTACACATTGTTTACAGGTGGAGAAAATAAATTCTTTACCAAAATGCTATTACTCCAACAAAATCAATCTCAAAATCTAGCTACCTGGTGTCAATGGTCATAAAACTTTAGTTTTGAAATTAATATATGTCAATATTGGAGAATGACTGTAATAAATAGACAAGCTCTTTGAAAGTCTACTCTGTAATATGAAGATCATAAGTGAAGATTAGACGAAATGATGATCAGATATTGTTGACTATAACAAATAATTGCCATTTACTACAAAACTCAGGTAATGATATGCTATAGGCCGATTTTTGAAACATGGACTAGGGTTCTGACACCATATAATATTTTAGGGTTTCATCTTAAAACCAATTGACAATAAAATGAGTAGTCCATGTCTATTGTTATTGTTAGGTCCCTTCTATTTTCGATCTGGATTCTTAATCTTAGCAACTTTCTTCAAATGTTTTTGCACACCAATAGCAAGCATTTGTTCAGCCTATCATTTTAAAGAATGGGACGACACTAAATTTAAATTACCTGGAAGCATCTGCATCAAGTTTGTGTGCTGTTCCAATAAAAGCTTACAATTTTTTCCAGTCACTCAACGTTGATCTCTACAGAAGATTAATCTCTCCAAAAGATTTAGTCTTCCTAAAACCTCAGAAGTCATAACAATCCCAACATAATCCCAACATCTTCATTAGTGGCGGACTTAAAAAGAACACACAAAACACCAGAAAAAAAAGACCTCATGGACGAGATCTTTGGAAGAGGTGGGAGTCSAATAATTATCTATAGATCAAAACCCATGAGAAATGATTTCGGATATGACACACTCCAAATACTAAATTTCGCAAATACTAAATTTCTAGCCATAAATTTGTATTTATTAAATAGTTCTGTTGTGCCTGAAACTTAGGTTAAAAGTATTAAAAGCATAAAAACAAAAATAGACATTTTGAAAATACAATGATTAAAATTAACAAACCTTAAACTTAAAATACATGAACTAAAATAGTCGTTTTGGAAATCATACAAGCACCGAAATGAATCAAAAAAACCAAAATAGTACTTAAACCCAAAACAATCCAAACTACAACATGTAGAAGTGAGTGAGGATTTGAATTCACAATCTCTTAGTCAGAAATAGGTGTCTCAACTAATTGAACTACGCTCTAATCAAAGAAAATTTGCCAAAATAATCCGAGTAAGCCATTTGAACAGCGTCAAGTGGAGTGGGGTTGTTGAAGAAGGTGTGGCCATAAGGGAGACGAGAGAAAGGAGTTGTAGGGTTCTCTGGTATCAAATTTGCAGTGTCTGCCAAAGAGTCCCCGAACTATGATATACGGCATCAAATTTCAGAGCCTCACAATTACACCCAAATGCAAAGAAAAAAAAAACGACAAAAAAAGGAATCCCACAGAACCTCCATTGATGGTTACAGATAATAATTAAGAGAGTTTAATTCAGTATAGTAAAAGCTGAAATATGTGGGTTATTTAGGCATCGATCGGTGACGTTACTATTTCTCGTTTCTTGTTTCCGGTTTTTTATTTCTAATTATAACTACAATAAGATTATTCGTGATCATAGTTGAAGTTGATGATTTGTTTTCCAATTTTGCATCAGTCCGTGTGACAAGTATGTAGGATCCGATCCACCTTAAGCTATGGGGCCTGAGCCTGTTCCTAAAGCATAGGCTCTCGTACCAAATCCAACGTATAAGTATTCGTGTTTCTAATGTTTTTTTTTAACGTTTTTACTTTTTGATGAAATAAAATTTAGCAGATATAACAAATAAAAAGATATAAAAAGAAATAAACATCATCCAGAGTTTAGAATATCTATTACAATTCAAGTCTCAAAAGCAAAATTAAAAACAACAATAATATTTATCCTTCAAATCTAAATTTGATCTACAATGTCGTCTCTCACTCAAATCATTCGTCTTAAATGATGTTGACTTATATCTACTTCAATTATACTACTTTGTTTTGGCAAAGTTTGTAGATCTTCACTGATCATTGATTCATTGTTATAGTCATTAAAGAGATCATCTTCACGATCATTTAGTCTAACATAATTGAGAACAATACAACATGCTATTGGTATATATTTTTGCGTGTCAATCGGGCAAGGTGGCATTTGTTTATGAGTAAGAAATCGAGCTTTCAACACGTCAAAATAACGTTCAATAATGTTTCGTAGTGAAGAATGTCAATGGTTAAACACCCTTCTCTACATCGAGGATGTTGCTTCCTTTCTCTAAAATCTCGTAGATGGTATCTTTGACCGCGATATAGTGCCAGAGGCACGGAGGTCTTGGAATTTGTCTCACCCATTTGGACAATCTTATTTTACCCATCGAACTGGGTTTTAACAAAAGGATTGAGATATTGGACATTAAAAGCTTGGAGATGTATGTTTTGTTAATAGAAGCTTTTCCTAAAGAGAGAAATTTAGTGCTATTTTTTCTTTGAACTGTTTGAGGACTGTGCTGGAGTTGAAGACTCGAAATACATTTTGTAATTTCTCTCTCGTACATCTAACGAATGGCGTAAAATTACCGGGCGTGACGGGTATATTTCTCGGCCATCCACTCGAAAAATTCTCTACTATTGAACCAACTCTTCTTTAAGAAGATTGCAAGATGGATCAACTAGTGAAAACACAAATCATAAACTAGGTTTTCATCCTTAATCATCACCGAATATGTACTTTGGCCACTTTTATATGTGACCATTTACAATACTTTGGTATTTGTTTTTTTCCAAAATTGAAGAGAAGAAACGCGTCAAAGTTGCATCAAAGTTGTGAGCAATAGCTATGAATAAAAGGCGACAGTTAACTCTTAGTTGGAAGTTCAAATCCTCACTCCATATTTGTTGCACTGAAAGAACAATGGAATGAAAGGAATTTTCTGGTCTAGTGAGTAGTTATGCAAAGAGAGAAGATAACCTCATTAATATTTGGAGACATCGGTGTGATACCGGCCAAAAGATTTGATGATTAAGTTATGTGCAATGGTTTGGCAAAGTAAGAACATGTATACTACTCATGATGGCAACACTACAAGAAATGTGATACCAGCCAAAAGATTTGATGATTAAGTTATGTGCAATGGTTTGGCAAAGTAAGAACATATATATACTACTCATGATGGCCTAAACACTACCAGAAATATGAGTTTTAGCTAGCAATTTTTTCTGCCACTGAAAATAAATATATGTCACTGTTAAGTCCAACCACGAAAAAGCTTTCACCCTGTCATACCCTGTCACCTGTCACCTTAGATATTTGATGACTCAAAATGCTTTAACCGCTATAGCGACATAAATAATTCACCGCAATAGCGACATTTTACCAACAAAATAATATTTTGAGTAAAATACACTTTTGGTCCTAAGTTTGAGGATAGATTTCTATTTTCTAGATTTTTAAAAAGTAGTTCTAAAAAGTCCTAGCTAAACTCAAACATCCACTAGTTGCTGCTGTGTCATTAGAGAGAGTTTGATATTTATAAATTTTATATTAGGTAGCATTTTCTTCCTTTTTCTGTTTTTTTGCTGTTCTCTTTCTCTTCCCTCTTCCCTCTTCCTCTTTCTCCTTCAATACTCCTCCGACTGCACCACCTAGGTTGAATTAAAAGTCCCTTCGGCAGTGAGTTGCATTTTAGTTCATTTGCTACTCCATAGCCGTTTCTATGGCTTCTCTTACGCTCTCTCCCTTCGCCAACAACCTTTTAAAATAACATATTTAGCGACGTTTGTTTTCGACGTTGGTAAAACTGTACACTTTCTTGTAGTGAGTTATCAGTACTTTGCAAGGAAAAGAACTTCAATCGACATGGGTGTGTCGTTTGCTGAAACGACTCCAACAATCAAATCAAATGCCTAATTTACAAGAGTTTCCATAAAAGTGCATAGAAGATGAAGAAATGACCACATGCAACTGGTATTTAAGGAGGTGTTTACAAAATATTATTGATCTTGGGCTAGTCAAAATAATAAATAAATACGTGCGGCTCATGAATGCAAAGAATGGCAAGCTATATATTAATTAGGATCTTGGGATAAGCTGAGTCGAGTAGTTGACGAAAGAGGCAGAAGTATGCTATCATGTGTCAAGTCAAGGGAAGTCTTTCCTTTTCTCGCCCCATGTCGATCTTATCTATGGTCCAGCAGGCTAAATCAAGTAATAGTAATGAAAGAGGAAACGACATGCTACCCTGCGACAAGTAAACTTTATTAGGCTAGAAGAAGGAAAAACCTTTTTAATTGTCTCAAATAACTAAACTAGATCTGAATGGAGAATCGAAATAGATTCTCTAAACGAGACAGCAAAAAAAAAAAAGAGGCTAGAGACCGCTCAATAAATGAAATGCTTAAGCTTAAGGATTGTTTTTCCTTTGAGTGAGAGTTATATACCACTTGAGTTATTCAAGTTATGGGAATAAGAATGAAGTTTTTTATGTTTTTATGTTTTTTTCAAAAAGATAATAAAAAATCAACATAAGAAGAAGAAAAAGGTTTAAATCATAGTGTAATCGATTTAATAATCTATAGATCTATTTGACATTAATTAGAATTCTATACATATTTGAATTTTCTCGAACCGTACGAAGAGAAAACTTCTTATACGGTTCTAGGGGAGTGGTATCGTTAATTTAAATCTATCCCAATGAACCGTTTATCAAATCGTAGTAATTGATATTTGATTCCGAAGAGAAGGAAGGGATCTTCGTAAAGTGGGTTCTCAACCTACCTGAAACTGTTCATGCATGATGTTTTAGCAGGTATATTTTAAAGAAGGCATGGGTTTTTAAAAACGAATCTTTATGAAGACTAAAAGAAAACCATAAGGTAAACTTTTTCACCTAGCACAACTCATTCATCGATATGATTCTGAAGTACCATTCTTTCTGGTCTAATATATATTTTTTTGTATTGAAACATTCTTGAATTCATAATAATACTCAACAGCATTTAAATTACCTTTGCTTAAAATAAATACCAACCGAAATGCCGCTGTTAACTGTAGAAGGCTCTTCCTTGAACTTCAATAATCTAATTCATCTATCTTGCAGCTCTCCGACAAATTTGACCTGAAATGAATTTACAAAGCCCTAAGAAAGAAATTCAGAGATGGGCTTACACCTTCGGTAATGGAGAACTCAAAGCCTGTACTAGTACAAATTCGGGGTTTCGAACTCTTTTACGATGTTTTTTACGACGTCACCTATGATCCCACCACGAAAGGTAGTCGTGACTTTATTTTAAATGTCACGAAAAGTGAAGCTCATGACGGTTTAAAAATGTTACAAAAAATTGAGGTTTTCATGATGGTTATAAGAGAACTAGAAGTGTCTAAACCCTAAACCCTCAACATAACATAAGAAACTGTATGCTTAACCATCATTTTTCTGTCTATAAGAAAAAAACGAGATAACAATTTTGTTTTTAACCTTACCAAATTTGGGGAAAAAAACAATTTTTTAAGAACCTAATTTTTGTAGTTTATAGAATTTGGCCTAGATTTGAAATCATTATTCTCCAAAAGTAGAGAGTAACAAAAAAATAGATAGGAGGAAGTAGAATTATAAATTTAATTTTCAACCGCAGAAAGAAAAATAAAATAGTTATCGAGATGTAGTACGGTCTTAATTCCTATTATTAAAAATTAAGCTTTTTTTATTTTTTATTTTTTATTTTTTATGTTTTATTTCTTCTACCTCTAGAACAAAACTACATATTGAAACTGTTATAAAAAAGGATTGCTATCTGAGAATTAAAACTACAAAACCAACAAAAACCTTTAATTGCATGTGATATTGAAATTTCATCATCCTGTTCATGTCAATAATTATTAAATCCTTTAATAGTGAGCAGCATCAGTGTTCAAGTATCTGCTCACTTCATTAGCCCTTTTACTGTATGCTATCTTCTTTTCTTTCTAAATGCACTATTAGAACCAAAAAACAGAAGCATATCTACCAAGTTTATCATATATAATAAATTTAACAAAATGAAATATTCCATGAAAATAAAATTGGAACATATATATTTTATGTGCATAAAGTTTTGAAAGAAGGTGAACTTACTTGAGATTTAGGAATTGGATCTGCAACCTATGAATTCGACCTTTCAAATTTTCGGATTAGCCTTCTTCAAAACCATGAATTAGTCTCAAGCTTTTGGTTTGAGAATTCTTCTGCAAGTTCAGAGTTGCACCCATTTTCACTCTCTCTGTTTCATTGTATAGAGATCCTGAATACTACAAGGCTTTGCCACAGCCAAAATATCCACCATCCACCGTTTCTTTCGCTTCCCTTTTCGACTTCTGTCATTTTTCTTCAACATTCTCGAGCAATATGATGACCGAATTTGCCGTTTATCGATATCTAGACATGAATGCAGAGTTGTAGGAGCCGAAGCTTGTCGTTTAGGACATGGCATATTATAAGAAACATCAGGGGACATAATTCCTGATGAATTATATGATCTTTTGCCAGCTGAATCCTCTGTGATGTCTGGCCCTTCATCATTTACAGCAATGGGATTACCTTTGTTGTCTTTCTTCGTACAATTGATCGAGCGGATATGTTCGGATGACTGAACGACACGGGGAGGGGGATCGAGTGGTGGCAAAATATTGCTAACACCATGGTGCAGACATAGAAGCAGATACTTGACTGGAAATGGCCAGCAATGAAATAAGTTCTTGTGACGACAAGAAAGTGTGTACTGTCTGCAAACAGATGATCAGAAGTGACACAAAAGCTAAGCATTGGCCAAAATTGTTAAGCGTGTGTAATAGAATTAATGACTTCTGAAACAAAGAAAACAAAACAGAAATCACAAGTCCCCAAAAAACAAACTTGCACGTTGAACACTGTTTTTTTTTAATACAACAAGCGGGTTGGAGATTCAAACTCATGACCTCTTAATTAAAAACAAGTATCAATTATCGCTAAGTTAAGTTCATGTTGACGCCCATAAACCACTGTTAGTGTTAGATTTTAGATATTAGACTAGGATGAGAATTAGTCTAACGGGTATAATAAAACGCATGCATTAAAAGACCATTATTTTTTAAATCTGTGATCTAAAACCTAACTATTAACTATAGACCACAGGTTTAAGAAATTCTGTTGGAAACTCAATTAGACTACGACCAACGTCATCCGCAATACAGTAATGTTTTAGTAAAAACCTAGTGGATTACACCACGGCCAAGGGACCGTGGTCGATACTAATAGACCATAGTCATATGATCGCAGTTTTTGAAAAATATTTAGATGCCGAATGGGGTAGCAAGAACCACTAACCACTAAACCGTTAACAAGTGTTTATCCTTCGAATAAAAAGAAAATCTCTCCGCACTCACCTCTCACACATGTCAGTAACTTATTGGGCGGTTGACAAGGAAGTACTATACTCCCCTAGTACTGAAATTTTCCCCAAGTACAACTAGTACTATTTGCAGTATTTTTATCGATGAAATTGAGATAAAGGAAGAAAAAAATGGCTAAAGACTTATTAAAACAAACCAGAGTAGGCCAACTAAATTTTTCATGAACTCACAACGAGTCGAGAAACTTCTTGACGATATGCAACAGCAAACAGAAACAAGTAGAGAGGTTTTACTTCATATTAACATCTCTTCGGATGATTAAGATTGTGCAATGGAACAAATATTTCTCAAGCAGAATTTAAAAAATCCCTATCAAAGCAGTAAAAGAAAAGGGAAATATTCATATAATTTGAAGGGAAAAAAACACACAAGAAGTGATAAATTCAACGTCTAAGAACATAAAATGACAGCAAAAATTAGAACTCAGGACTATAAAATGCAAATTTTACCTTATTGAGAAATGTTTCGGATCATTCTGTAGTTGATTTTCGTCGGGTGGACTCATATTCTCGCCGCGCCTAATATTGCCAAATCGCGAACAAACCTAAAGAGTAGATTCAAACTTTGGCTTCACAACGAGCAAGAAATACGAAGAAGATTTTGAGTAAGCATAATTACTTTTTTGTAGTTTCGAATGCAACGTTGTATTTGTGTACGCAGAACTCAGAAGCAGAATCAGAAGCGGTGGGAGTTGAAGATGAACTATTTCTTCACATTCTCAAAAACTTCCATTCAATGTTTCTCATCATAATTTACCTAATCAAATTCATTCACTTTGATGACTTTTTGAGTTTTCAAGGGACAATTATTTTGATATTTAGCTATTTTGACTTCGGCACATATATATATAATAATATATTTATTTTATTGATATTTTTTATATTTTATCAATTTGTTTTGCAGTATTATAAAAATATTGATTTACCTCTCATATATTTAAGACGCGGGTAGGGACAATGGTATAATTTTTTTTTTTGGCGAAATCAAAACTAAAACTATGTGTGTATAAAATTGGGAGTAGAAAATATTATATCATTTCTAAAATATGAGAGGTTTGTTGTCCTAAATAAATTTAATTTCTTAGTTAGCTTAGTTCTTTCTACATTTTAAGTGATCTCAAACTCATCTTTAATAAATTAATTTAGGAGCTTGAATTCAAAATTTTTGCTTTAACACCAATTTGAGAATTATTTTAAAATTAGTGATTTTAGTAAAAGATATTTAATCACAATTGATTTTGTGAGAGTGATTTTGAAGTTTGATAAAAGTTTTAGAGAGAAAAAGTTAGAACAAAACTTTTAGAGGCTGAGAAATTAATTTTCCAAAGAGAAATAAACTTAGAAAAGATAATATGGGAACAAAAATTTCAGAGACATTACAAAAGTTTTAGAAAGAAAAAAATTCTAAAATTTAGGGTGAACATGAAGTGAAATAGAAAGACAAATTTAAAACTTAAAAGGATAAATGTTTTAAGAACTAATTTCCTTTAGAAAAAAAATTAATTAGGATCCGTTTGTTAACGTTTTTTTTGTTTTCTAAAAACAGGATGGTTTGATAACAAATTCAATTTTCTATTTTTTCTTTTTGTAAAAATCATTTTGAAATTCTATGTAAATTAAAAAAAAAGTCTTCAAAAACATAAATATGTTTTTCAATATCCAATTTTTTCTTTCTAATACTCAACTTTTTTTTTCTTTCTCATATTTATCTCTAAAAAATTTCTTTATCATTCTAAAATTTTTCTCTCTAAACTTTTCTCTACAAAATTTATTTTTCTCTATCTAAAATTTTTATATTTTGAATATTTATTATTATTAGTTCGTCTCTGTAGCAGAAATTGCTTACCGCAAATGTACGGATCAAGTTTTAATAAAGTGGTAAGTCAAATACCGATATCATTCTCTAAATTGGGTTTCTAGATCACTCAAGTACCACAGATACAATCGCTCAATTTTATTTAGAGAATCAAAATCAAATTGGAGAATATAATCAAAGGAAATAAACAAGTAGATAAAAACAATGGGGAAAAAAGTCCTAGGGAATTGATTTCACCTATTGAATGTATGAACCAACTACTTAATTAATCAAGATTGAACCAATTATTAATTATATAGGCCAAGAACTCTCAAATCTCAACTGCCTCTCCCGAGCACAAGCTAATTCTCCTTACGAATTAAGAAACCAATATCCCTATCTAGTTTCTATAACAAGTAAAAGCTTTATTGAACAAGTCTTTTAACGACCTCTAAAGAACTTCTAAATCTCTCGATCTTAAAACCCCTTTAGTTATGCATCCCAGTTCTAACTCTAAACCACCTCTCCCGAGCGTAAGATTTCAAGTCTAAAATCAATCAATCTATGGCCAGTAGATTCAAGGCATGAAGCGTAGAGAAACATAAATAGAACATTCATAAACATTCAATCAAGAAAACTAAACAATTAATGCATAAAGTTCAATGGCTACATCAATCCCTAAGATAAGAGGTTTAGTTTCTCATATTCAGTGTAAAACAATAAAATCAGAATGAGAAGTCCATAACAAAACTAGAAAAATCAAGGGAAAGGAGAAGAAACTATGTTCGACATGTCAATCGTCCGTCCCCGAAGCGACCTTCACGATCTCGAGCCTTGAAAATCACTTTTCTAAGCTCTCCAGTGGTCTCCTTGCCCTCCAATTTGGCCAAAAAGGCAAACTGCCATAAAACCTCTTCCAAACTCCCCACTTGCGGCGGCTGCACAACCCTATTTTTTTAAAAAGTTGTCGCGGCAGCGCCGTGGCGCTATATACAGGGCCATGGCGCTACACTATCCACAAACGCGAAATTTAAACTTCGGAGCACCGCGGCGCTCTAGGCTAGCGCCGTGGCGCTATCTCCTCGGGTTGTTAGCTCCAAATCTTGTTGTTATTCCATCTTGGTCACTTTGATTCCGATTTTTCTTTCATTTTGATCCAAATATGTCTCGTTTCCTCCCGATGCTTTATTCCTGCAAAAACGAAAACTAACAAATAATTTCAATATAAATCTCATGAAATGCAGCTCACAAAGTGTGCTATCAGTCTCTCCAAAATTTTCAGTATTTTTATTTTATATTTGTTTTCCCAACATATCAGTTTCATTTCTCTCTCTAAAAATTTAATATTTTTCCTAAATTTTCTCTCTCTAAAGTTTCATGTTTTATAACTTTTATTTCTCTTCATAATCTATTTTTTCCTTTGAAAATTATATCTTATTTTCTTAATTTTCTTTCACTGTAACTTTTATTTATCTATCTATTTATTTATTTTCTCTAAAAATTATATTTTAAATATTGTTTTTATCTCTAAATTTGTTTCCACTGTAATTTTTCTCTTTCTTTCTAATTTCTTTAACATATATTTTCCTCTCGACTTTACTTTTTTTCTCTAAATTTTTTCTCTTTTTGCCTTTTACTTTTATTTCACTATTTTTTTCTAAATCTTTTTATTTATCTCTCTAAAATTTATATTCCAAAAGTTTATTTACATCTCTCCAAACTTGTACTAGGATTGGCCCCAAAAATAGGAAATGCATGTCTCAACCAGGTCCCCAGTTCCACATTTTAAATAATTAATCTATATTTATTACACTTTTTTTATACTTAAATTCTAAAAATAATTAAAAACAATTATAAAACTGATAATTATTCTCGAGAACATCTCTCGAACTGAAGAACAAGGTGAAAATGAGGATTAAAAATTTTCACGAGCACGAGAATAGGGAGAGCATTCTCACTCGCACCTACACAGTTGTTATCTGTACTGTACATAGAATTTTCCCTCTCTAACATGTTTAGTTTTCTATTTTTTAAAAATAAAAAACAAAAATGGCTATGAAACGTATATGGTTTTTGTTTTAAAAACCAAAATCAAACCGACCTTATGAATCACCTCCCAAGTGATTTTCAAAATCACTTGTGAATGATTATCAAACAAGTTATTTTAAAATAGAAGTAATTTGGACATTAGTGTAGAGTGGTTCTAAAACATATATTAAATTTAAGTTAGAATATTGTTAACAATTGCATAAGCACTTTTATCAAATGTGCTTTGAACTTGAGGACTACATCCACATTCTTTTATGGAATCACTTTTCGTTAATATCTCTTCTACACATTTATCTCACGACTTTTCTATTACACACTTTCTCGGACTACCTTCCCTCCACGTACATATTAGGTCCGTTTGGTAATGATCTTATTTCTTTTTTCTCGTTTCCAATTTTATTAAAAAACTCAAGCATTTGATAACTATTTATGTTCCATGTTTCTCAATTTTTTATACACATTCTCAAATTTGTATAGAAAACAAGTCTTTTGTTCCTGTTTTCAATTTGTTCCGAAACATAAATAAAAATATAGTTTTATTATTCTTGAATTCATGGGTGTTGGGCTTATGTAATTCTATTCTTTTTTATTAAAAATGAGGAAACAGAAACAAGAAACAAGAAACAAGAATGTTATCAAACATGCTCATTGTTTAATACTTACAACCTCTTAGTTGGAGATATATGTCAATTACCACTTATGATCGTTTTGACATCTTACACGTTTCTTTTGTAATTTCAATTGCTTTCATTTTAGTAACCTTTTATTTTTATAATTTTTAGTCATTTTCATTTGAGTGGTTTGTCGATTCTTAAAAGGTTTCTTAAACTAAATATAAATTGAAAGAATACTTCTAAGTAGATAAAAAAAAATCACCTTGAAATTATATTAAAACCAAATAATACGTTTTTATTTTTGAACAGTCTCTAATGGGGTATATTTTATTTTAAAACAAAGATTTTTTTTAAAAAAAAAATATATATATTTGAACACTTTTCAATGGGGTGTATTTTCTTTTTTAGTACAACATGTGGGAATGAGAAAATATATTTTTATACAGTTTGTTATTGTGTAACACTTTCTATTAGAGCAGTTAAGAGTACTATCATCACAAAAAGTGAGTTTTCCTAAATTACTTCAATAATAAAATAAGTTGTGGCTTAGTTATAATATTTTGAATTATTATTATTTACTTGACAAATATATCTAGAATTGATGACTCACTAAAATAAGAATAACTAAGAAAATTTCATAAAAACACAAAAGTGCAAACAATTGAAATTACAAAAAATTGAAATAAGTGAGAGAACATATATGTAAAGGGTGACTAATGAAAGAAATTGTATGTGTATAGAGAGATATTAGCGATGACAACGTGTTAGAATATGAGAACGAACATAATCAATGAACTCACGTAGAAAGCGAGAAGATATCTCTTTCTAAAGAACATATTTCTTGTTTTAAAAAAAAAAAGGACTATTATCATCCTAAGTAATTAGAGTATATAAGATAAAATATTGCAAGTATTTTTAACACTAAAAAAAGGACTATTATCATCCTAAGTAATTAGAGTATATAAGATAAAATATTGCAAGTATTTTTAAACAAGTGTTGTAAATTTTAATACTTTCTCTACATATAAATGAGTCTACAAACCAAACTTTGTTCGTGCAAACTAATTAAAACTTTTAATCAAGCGTTCAATCACATTTTGGCACAATGTTGATTCTATTCAAATTAAAAATCCACCCAAAATCAAGAAAAAAAAAGTATTAACAATCCACATAACAACGTACCAAGTAGCTTGTATTAAATATCCGTCGACATATCAACATTTTCATATATTTATAGATTCGACATCGACATAACATGATATTAAATATCTGTCGACATTTTCACACATCTATCATTTTCACACATCTATTAATTCAAGAATGATAGATAACATTTCCATAATATTACAATAAAATTGACAAAATATAAAAAAAAAAAATATCAACAAAAACCTCACAATGCAGACATAATATTAATATTAATTAATTTTAACTTATTTAAAAATAATAAAATACTTATTTGTTAATTTAAATAATTTTTACGAATTTTTCATTTTTTTCAGAAATATCTATAAATATCGACACTTTGCGGATATTTCTATCGAAATTTTTAGAAATTAAGACTTCAACATCTCTATCGCCATTAACATTTAAAATATTTGCCAAATAGAAACACATATTTGCAATTTGAAGACATTTTAAAGACGAGACTACACTCATTGAGATTTTCAAAGGGAAAAGTTACAAAATTGTGGTACCTCAACCTTGGGAGGCATGTATAACGTTTAATGGGGTAATTTGATTCTTTCCCACAAGAATAAGATAAAGAAATCAAGAAAAGAGGAAATAAAATCTAAAAATAGATTATTAAATTTGATATACAAAAATTGGGGTTTATTATGAAGATTTGGCCTTCAAAAATTGGTCGCCGGCAGTCAGGAAAACATGCTCTCCCAATGCCACCTCCACTCCCGGCTGACCCTCGATGAAGTCGACCCGAATCTGTTCGAACCGAATCAAGGGTAAAAATGTAAATTACAGTAAACAAAACAACTTGGAGAGCGTTAGAAACTTGAATGCAAAGACTTGAGTTTTTATGTTAGGAAAAGTTAGATCTTTTAATGCATTATTCAACAATAATCCTAAAGAGTCCCTGATTTCTTTTTTTTTTTTTTGTGTTTTTTGCCTCTAATAATTGAACTTCAACAGAAATTGTAGGACATAAAGAATCATATGAAGCTGAAAAACCAAATTAAATACAAACCTTGCCATTTCCAGAGGAGAACTCAGACTTCAAGTTGGAGATATCTCTTGATAAAAAGTATACTTCAAGGGCTCTGGCGAATTTTTCATTACCTAAGAACAGTTCTCCACAGGCATCAGAGACCGAGAGAGAGACAGAGAGAGAGAGCGTGGAGTGAGAGAGATACCTTCATATAAAGCAACAATGGAATCCGAATTGAAAACGGGTATTGGTCTTGCTAAGATTATAGAAAATGAAATCCCGGCTACATTATGGAAACTTTCTTCAGCAAGTGTGACCTGCAGATTCCACAACACCGCAGTTAATACCATCAACCTGTTCGATATGCATCGTGCCAACATGGGTAAAATAACAAGAGCAATCGTCGACACTAACAATTCATCCTAAATATGACCCTTAACACTTCGGCTAAGCGTCAAGTTGGTAATTTTCTTACATCTTCCCAAGAGGTCAAGTATATGTACCCAAAATAAAGAGCTTTGAATACTAGAAGAAAAGAAAAGCACCTATATCAATCAAAAATTAAGTAAATACCCAAAACGGCAGTCATTTTATTTCTATCTTTCCACACATGACTGAAGTATGAAAAAAATTCTTCATAGGTATCGGAGGAAATTAAGTGAAGTACTCCAAACAGAAAGATGTCTACAACTTCATCAGATCCAAGCCTTCTTCACTTTTAGGGCTAGAACTCAAATATGGCGAACAAGAACCCAAACAAATGGTTCTAAAATAACTCGGTTTATTTAATGTGAGTTACTAAAAAATGGCTACAACTTAATCTCGTATAATCACTCTAATATGTAACTATCTTACTAGCATTATTGTCAAAATTGAAGATTTTCTTGTAAAACAGCAACGAGTACTTATATCTCAAAGAAATATAAGGAATAATGCTGATATTTTTATTGTTCACGAAAAGTGGCGACATGATACACATTGGGCAATGCAACTTACTGCAGATGGAGGGAATATAGCAGATGGAAGCAGGGGAGAACCAATTGCCTCGCTTATGTATAGTTCCTACAAATGAATGCAATTTAGTTAGTCGAGGACCAAGAGCATTTAAGATGTAAAGCACCTGAAATGATATTAAAAAATATGCAGCAACCGACCTGTGCACGTAAAACTCTCTCGGCTACTGATCTATCTTCATCTAGTGGTTGAAAGTACACCTCCACCGTGTCAGTAGGTTCAAGGGCAGCCTTCTTCCTCAACTTCTGGATTCTATTAACAATCTAAAATAAATAAACTAGTTAGGTAACTATGACATAAAAATAATTCATAGGGGAAGTTGACTACTGATACAATACTTTAAAAACAAAATTTTTTATCAGCGTGGGAAAAAAAAGGGTAAAGGATGCGACTTACATAACATGCAACTTTTTCCATGGGTAGGAAATTGTTGGCATTTCTAATATGTAAATATTTATGTGTAAATATTAGTGATTAATATTTGGTCTTTATTGTTTTTTCTTTTTCTTTATATTGTAATGGGTCTATCTTCTATATAAATAGAACATTTTATTCTCTCAAAATTAAGAGAAATATAAATAGGTCCGAATAACTCGTGTAAGTAAAAGAAGTTAAATCAACAACCCTACCCTGCCCAGATTAAGAACTTGTTCATTTGAAAACTATATATAAGTTATGGGGTAATTATTTCAAAATAATAATAAAAAAAGATACGAGCTCCAAAATAATAGCAAGAAACGCATTAATCCACAATTAAAAGAATTCCTATTTCGAGGGAAAACTTTTGAGTTTTGTGATGTTGAAATAGTCCAAGTGTCTAATCCAACAATGCAAGGAAACCAAATAAATAAATAAATGGTATGCATCTTCAAACTAAAACATCTAACCAAAATACAAAATTACCGAATGTAGAGTACAAATTTTTATCTCTTTTTTTTTTTTTAAGTAAGAACAAGTATTTTGAATAACCAAAAAAGCCTAATTACAAGAAAGCCCTCAAATTAGAAATAACCAGAAAAGCCATGTAGACTGTAGAGTTCAAAAAATTATGACCATAATATGTCACATATAGAGATAGAGCAAGTAAAGGGCAAGATACCTCACGAGCAACGCCAGCCTCAAATAGAGACTCATCTGGACGTAAATCCAAAATCACTAGTACATCACCTAAAATGAAGCACAAGAAAGAAGTGAGATTAAACCCATCCAAAGAAAAAAAGAACCATTAGACAGGTACATAATATTTTTTTGTTAAAATTTCTCACCATCCCCAGCAGCGTCTATTTCATTATCTGTCATACCATCGGGTCGTCTGAAATCCCGGATAACCTTTAGATAACAGGGATTTTCAAAGAATGTTAGTAATGCAAGTATAATCTAAACGAAACTAAGTAACTATATTGCAAAATCCAAAGAGAAATTACAATACCAATAGCCTTTCGAGATTCTCTCTCCCAAGAACTCTCACAAGTTCCTCAACGTATACTATTCTCCAAGATGCTCTTCTCCTCTCTCTACTACCACTGTTTATAACCACTCACCCATAACTATTACCGTAATACCCCCACTAATATACTAACAATATTCCCAAACTATCCCTACTAGGACTCTCATGTTACCCTGCCCTTCAAAGACACCTTGTCCTCAAGGTGTGAATCCATCCACTCAGAATTAAAATATTGATTTTTTTTTAATCTTCCCATCCAGAAACACCGAAATAACAAAAAGCAAAAAATAACCCCAGCCCAGTACTGCAGCTCCTCCATTTTCACCAGCAAGCAAAGGTCCACCAACATTCTCAGCCCAGTACAGCAGCTCTTCCATTGTTCCATTCTCGTTAACAAGCCAAGAACCCACCAGCACTCCCTTTGCCCAAGCCCATGGCCCAATTAGCCATAATAGCCTGCTGCTCCTTTCCTTTATTACAGACAAAATAGGATGATTATTTTTATCCAATTGAGTGGGCCCTTTCTTTAATCGGTTTAGCCCTACCTCCAGCCCACATAGATTCTTTCTTCCAAAATCCTCCTTGTACGGTAACCCTAACTCCATCCTCGTGAACTCTCCTCCTTAGCTTCTTCATACGCGGAAGTTTTTCTCCTCCGTTCTCGAGGAATCCTTGCCCTTCTCCTCTCCCTACCACCCCTATTTATAACCACTCACTCATAACTATTACCATAATACCCCCTACTAATATACTAATAATATTCACAAACTATCCCTACTAGGACTCTCACAGTATGCACAGGTAATTAGAAGTGTAAACCACTTTCAAGAAGCTCGTTTTCACAAAGATCTCATTTTTCCTTGGAAAACATGTCTTGATAAATAACTATACATACATACATATATATAAAGGGGAGGAAAAGGGCTATAGAATAATAGACCTTTCTGACCCATGAAGGTACATGATTTACAAAAATACCCATAAAAGATAGTAAAACTATGTGTACCTCCATATACAAATACATAAACCTACCCAAAACTAGACCTCATGAACAATTATACTACTCAATCCGAGAACATAGTACATTTCAACAAGAATAGATAGAAAGAATTCTTGCCCTGAAAGTGAAAGCAGATACCTTTATGTCCGATAACCTTAAACAATGAGTAGCAATTGTAACTTCTCCAACTTTCTCAAAAGCTAAGATATCTTCCTGTGACATTGCTTTGACTTCCTTGGCCACTACTCCCATTGCTTTTCCAAGACGCTTTCCCAATACACTAGAACAGAACATTCAAATTCAAACAAGTGCATAAAGAGAGAGGACCATTTCCAATAGGATAATTTTCATACCTAAAATCCGGCTCAGCACGCAGGGATGCGTACTTCAATGTATCATCGCATGGGATAAGAGATCTTATATTTAATTCCTCTAGGACGTACTGCAGCACAATTAGATGCAGAAAAATCACAAGCAATTAAAAGAGGTACCAAAAGAAAATATTGGTCATAAAAAAATAAGAACAAAAGCAGAAAAAAAATAATAATAATAAAGAATAGCACAATCAACTATGCTATAATGAAACAACAGACATTCAAAGTTCAACATGAACGTGGACTTAATAGGGTACAA